AACATAAATAGAAGAATATAAAAAGAAAGGGAAGATTAGAAGTTCAGAGTTTTCATTGTTGTGATTACATTTTAAAACATTTTTTTTAAAAGACATTTATTTGACAGGGGGGAGGGGAGGGAGGGAGGGAGCACAAGCACGGGGAGCAGTAAGCAGGGGGAGAGGGAGAAGCAGGCTCCCTGCTGAGCAAGGAGCCTGACTTGGGGCTGGATCTCAGGACTCTGGGATTATGACCTGAGCCAAAGGCAGATGCTCAACTAACTGATCCACACAGGTGCCTCTGCATTTTTTTTTTTTTTAAGATTTTATTTATTTAAGTCAGACAGAGAGAGAGTGCACGAGGCAGGGGAGGGGCAAGGGAGAAGCAGACTAGGGGCTGAGCAGGGAGCCTGATGCTGGGCCCCATCCCAAGACCTAGAGATTATGACCTGAGCTGAACACAGAAGCCCAACTGACTGAGCCACCCAGATGCCCTGTGATTACATTTTTTAATAGGATAGAAAGATGTTTGAGTTCATAAATAAGAGCAGTTTTCCTAACTGGATGTACTTTGGACACTTCCATCAACACTATGATCATTTTAATTCCTACATTCGCCCCAAAATTTGGTGTTACCAATTTTTTTTTTTTCAAATTTAGCCATTCTAGAAAATGCAATGTGGCATCTCCTTGTTTCCCTGCTTTCTAGAAGAAATGGCTAAAGAAAATGTGAGATTATATGTATATATAAAATTCAGCCTTAAAAAGAAAAAGGACATCCTTCCATTTGGGACAACGTTGGTGAGCCTGGAAGTTATGCTATGTGGAATAAGCCAACACTCAAAGACAATTATTGTATTATCTCATTATATCTGGAATCTAGTAAAGAACTCATCACAAAAGCAGAGTACAACTGTGAGTGCCATGAGCTGTCTGTGGGGGAAGTGAAACATATTGGTCAAACAGTACAAAGATTCAGCTCTTCAGGATGAATACATTCTGGAGATCTAAACTACAGCATGGAGAACACAGTTATGTCTATTATATTTGAAATTTGTTAAGAGAGTGTATCTTAGATGTTCCCAACAAAAATTAATTAAAAATTAAAAATCTTAACCATATCAAGTGATAGACATATTAATTAGCTAGGTTATTATCATGTCATAATGTACACATATATTATTTATACTTTATAACCTGAGCAACAGCTCAATCTGCAGGAATGGAAAACAGGATTATGGGTAAAATGCTCCTGAAACACAAGATTTAATGGCAAAAAGAAAAATTAGGGAGCTAATATATATAATAATATATATAAAACATGTCATCCTTTTTCCGCATTCATCTGATTCTGGGTTTCAGGAGTTGCGAACACCAGCCCTGGAGAGGTCAAAGCAGCAGCCACTCAGAATCTGATCTCCTCTAATCTGTTCTGCTAAGGGAGGAGATCCCAGAGCCCCACCATACCTCAATACAGGCTCAGAAGGGGATTTCATCTGGTCTGGGGTATGGGAGAACTCGTTATAGGCTCTGATCTCCTGGCCTCTAGGATAACTCCAGCTCTGTTATTCCTAAGCCTGCCCAATAGAAATTTAACTCCCAGAGTTCACATTATTTTAATCTGTTTAGTCACTTTCCTGTCTACTTCATAAACTAAAATAAAAACCAACTTAACACTAACATTTAGAATTTCTGGGACAATTATGTTAGAAACCTTTTCTTTCTTTTTTTTTTTTTTTAAGCTTTACTTATTTGAGAGAAAGAGAGAGAGAGAATGAGTGTGCACAAGTGAGGGGAGGGGGAAAGGTAAAGGGAGAGGGAGAGAGAACCTCCAGCAGAGTCCACACTGAACATAGGGCCCAACACAGGGCTCAATCCCATGACTCTGAGATCATGACCTGAGCTGAAACCAAGAGTCAGATGCCCAACAAACTGAGCCACCCAGACATCCCAGAAACTTTTATTCTTAACAAAAATGTAAAATAAATGCTACTACTACTGCTAAAAAAATGCTTTGGTTCATGGATGATCCGATCCATCAGGGGTGAAGCGGAAACTCACACAACACAGAAAGGGAACTGTCCCAACTGAAGCAAAGTCCCCTGCATACTGCCTCTTCCTTGCACTGACCCTACAATCCTGAATTCAAATGTATCCATTTGCTCTAGATTAAAGGTTCCCGGATGTAGGGATCATGACTCTTCATGTTTTTTCTAATGACCGGATGCCATGGAAACAATCAGTTTCTATCTGTTTGCATCTCCACACTTGCTCAGTGTTCTTTACCACAGCATGAAGAACCTGCAGAAACTCCCATCTGGGTACCTAAGTCATGAACAAAGAAGGTATGGGTAATATTTATAGAAACAAATGCACACATAATTTTATTGGTAATTGATACTTAACTGATTCCTATTTGAATGAAACCTGACAGTGTCTTCAAATGTACTGAATTGAAAATTGTTATCCAAAAACATAAAACATAGAAAAGAAACCAAAAACACAGTAAATTAGTATTATGGTAACTATCATACAAAGGGAAGCATTGTTATGGAATTGCAAAACAAGCATAGGAAAAAAATTAACCCCCCAAGTCCTGAATAAAACGTACACCCTTATAATGATGTTTCCACATCACGAAAAGCAAGCAAAGCAAGGGCAAAAATGAACTATTGGGACTTCATCAAGATCAAAAGCTTTTCACAGCAAAGGAAACAGTTAACAAAACCAAAAGACAACTGACTGAATGGGAGAAGACAGTCGCAAATGACGTATCAGATAAAGGCCTAGTATCCAAAATCTATAAAGAACTTGTCAAACTCAACACCCAAAGAACAAATAATCCAATCAAGAAATGGGCAGAAGACATGAACAGACATTTCTGCAAAGAAGACATCCAAATGGCCAACAGGCACATGAAAAAGTGCTCAACATCACTCAGCATCAGAGAAATACAAATGAAAACCACAGTGAGATACCACCTCACACCAGTCAGAATGGCTAAAATTAACAAGTCAGGAAATGACAGAGGTTGGCGAGGATGCAGAGAAAAGGGGAACCCTCCTACACTGTTGGTGGGAGTGCAAGCTGGTGCAGCCACTCTGGAAAACAGTATGGAGGTTCCTCAAAAAGTTGAAGATAGAGCTACCCTATGACCCAGCAATCGCACTACTGGGTATTTACCCTAAAAATACAAATGTAGTGATCCAAAGGGGCATGTGCACCCAAATGTTTATAGCAACAATGTCCACAACAACCAAACTATGGAAAGAACCTAGATGTCCATCAACAGATGAATGGATAAAGATGTGGTTCATATATACAATGGAATATTATACAGCCATCAAAACCCACAAAATCTTGCCATTTGTAACAACGTGGATAGAACTAGGGGGTAATTAAGCTAAGCAAAATAAGTTAATTAGAGAAAAACAATTATCATATGAACCCTCTGATATGAGGAATATGAGAGGCAGGGCAGGGGATCATGAGGGATAAGGAGGGAGAAAATGAAACAAGATGGGACCAGGGAGGGAGACAAACCATAAGAGACTCTTAATCTCAGGAAACAAACTGAGGGTTGCTGGAAGACCGGGGGGCAGGAGGTAGGGGAGGCTGGGTGATGGACACTGGGGAGGGTATGTGCTATGGTGAGTGCTATGAAATGTGTTAAGACTGATAATTCACAGACCTGTACCCCTGAAGCAAATAATACATTATATGTTAATTAAAAAAAAGAAAAGCAAAAAAAAAAAAAAAAAAAAAAAAAAAAAAAAAAAAAAAGAAAGAAAAAAAGAAAAGCCAGAAGAATTTAAAATGGAAAAATAAATGATGTTTCTTTATAGCTACAATTTTAAACTGGGATTGTGCATCCATGTAAATCAAGTATTTGAAGCACCAGTATGTGTTATATGGCAGTAAAATTGTTCAGAAAATTCATTATAATAAAAAAAATGCCCAAATAAAAATTTTATGAATAAAATTTTATGAGGAATTTGTTACTAACAGAATATTCCCAGTTTTACACAGACTGCAAAGGCTGCAATTCATCCTTTAGAAGCAACAAAAGAAAACAAAACACCATGAGTTGTAAAATATGCTGCTTGTCACAAGTATCTAAATAAACATTTAGGTATTAATTATACATTTCAGACACATCTTGAGGAAAGTGGACGAAAATACTGATGATTACATTTATATTTATGAATAAAACATTTAAAAATTTTTTTTAAGATTTTATTTATTTATTTGACAGAGATCACAAGCAGGCAGAGAGGCAGGCAGCAGAGGAGGAAGCAGACTCTCTGCTGAGCAGAAAGCCCGATGCGGGGCTCGATCCCAGAACCCTGAGATCATGACCTGAGCCGAAGGCAGAGGCTTTAACCCACTGAGCTACCCAGGCGCCCCTGAATAAAACATTTTAATAAATATGGGGATTTTTACTAATCATCTAACTTACTTTTTATAAAACACATGTACATTGAAGGATGCTCTATCAGAAATTTAGAATCTCAAATTGCAGCTGAATTTCAGAGGAAACTAACCAAAAACTGAAAACATAGAGGACACAGTCACAGGAAATTTATATAAATAAGACAAAACTAGAAAATCATAGTTTTTAAGAAATACGGTAACTACTGATATCTGTTGTGATGCAAAAATAGAACTTAAAAAATGCCTTACCACAGAGCTCCTCAGAAAGATGTACAGATTTCCCTAGGCACCCAAAAGTCATAGAAAAGCATCCAGATCACATAGGTCCTCATGGCTATGGAAGAGTCTTTGGCCCTCCCTGTGAATATGATGGAAGACCAGAGGGGCAGAAGCAGAATCTTAGAGGTGTAGGAGCATGGCGAGTGTTAGACAGTATTGTCCCTCTGCAATAGCAAGGGAAATGAGCTGAAGATTCTGAGAAATTATTTCCATTCAACCAGAGTTTTCCAAACCACATTTTAAGTTCTGGCTTCCTCCTTGACCTTAGGACCTCACCTGTGTCATCTGCTTCATTCATTTCCACCTACCTGGTTGTACAACTACTGTCTTCCTCTACTTCACATCCCAGGACTTTCTCTTCTGCTCCGAAAAGGTACGTAGGTCTGGCTTAGATATAGCAAGACCTGTTTAAAAAAAAAAAAAAAGGAATAGGAGTTTTGCTGGAGATTCTGTAATTTGGAGTGTGGTATTGTCCTCAGTAAAAAAGAGAGGATATTACAGAATTCTAGAAAATGACTTCCCAAAATACTGTTATTTGATAAGATTGAATGGAACAACTGAATGGATTAATTTTTATGGCCATTACAGTTTCTGCTAGAACACTAAGAATGACAAATGACAATAATTTCAAACATTTACTAGTCACTAGATAGCATTACAACAGTTTTTCATAATGTGAAAAACACACACACTCAAAAATAATTTATGAGATCAAACATATTATTCTTCCTCTTTTATGAGTGTCTTTTGTCAAACATCCAGTAAATGGAAAAAACTAGGTTTTAACCAAGGTCATCTGACCTAGAGTTTATGTGACACAACATACAGGTCTATATACAGAGACTACCTTAAAGCAACGTTCCCTAGGGGCCAAGGGCAGGCTGTCCCATGAAGTGTTTTTGGGATGAAGTGTTTTTTGGGTTAAAGGCGACTGACATCCTGTAAGAGAAATTTTGCTCCTCCTTTAACTATGCAGAAGGATCTACATTGGGGGTCTTTCCCAGAATAAGGGTTGTTATCAGAGATGAATTTTATCTGGGTCACCCATCTGTGTGCCAGGCCAAATATCTAATCACCAAACATCTGTTCTTCTTATTGCTTTGCCAGAACATTCCTTTCTTCAAAGTACCAGACCATTCTTAGTCCAGGATGCCATAAATACTTTTGCCTGACTGACTTTGGGATTTCCGTGTCTGTAGGGTTCCTTTCACTTATGATATTAAATTTGATTTTTCTCCTCTTCATCTGTCTCATGTCAGTTTTGTTCTTAGTCCAGCTAGAAGGACCTTGAAGGCGACAGAAATTCTTGCTCCTTGAAAGTATCAACATAAAATATGTCTAATGAATCCAGCACTGATCTTGTCAGTTCAGATGAGAGGATGTCCCCTGGCACAGCTAGGAACATAGAGCCTAGGCTCAAGAGATGGGAATGGAAGCCACTAGATAACAAGCAGTTAATCAGCTCTATCGTCCGGATTTAAGTACCAGATGCACCTACTAAAACCTCTAAGACAAAGAAGAAAGATTATTTTTCTGATTCAAGGTTTTTTGAGATAGAATATACCCTCTAGGGTACCAGGTGAAGTGGCACCAGAACTTAGCAAGGAGCATCAGCTAACATGGCCTCATGGGTCTCCAAGAAACAGCATCCACCTTCTCGGTGATAATGAGCCAAATGGTGCCCTTGGTCTCTCCGAACAACAGAATTTGACAAGAGGCCAAACAGGAGTTTCAGGCAAGGCTTTGCTGGAGCTTATGCGCCAGCACAGACAAAACAGTGTCCTCAGGCTGACTCCCTGAGGAGAGGTCAGGGAGGATTTTTTAAAAGAAACTTAGGTGGAAAAAGAGTGCTAAGCATATAGCAGCAGAAATGTATTAGGACCTGCATGCTTAAAGATCATACTTTTTCACTTACTGCCTGTCTAATTAACATATTAAATCTCCACCCCTGGACATGATTTTGGGTATCAGAATGAGGGAAAGAATCTGAGAAATTTCAGCACTGTGGTCCATCTTGGCACAACCTGGTTTGGTCCAACCTTCTTAGTGTTCATAGTTAGCATACTTCCTCTAAATTCCTTCAACATAACCTGCTTAGGAGGCATAGAGCTTTGGCTTCCCACCAAGCCACACACCCTGCCCTTATGGAGGCAGCCAAAGAACTTAACTGTCAGTATTGAGAGGGCCTGATCCATTCTCTGCTCTATCTCATCAGGATAACCCTTGCCCCCAATTCTCCCCTTAAAAATCTTCGCTTGCAAGCTGTCAGGGAGTTCAGGACTTTTGTGCATTAATTTCCCCCCTCTCCTGGTGGTACCATAACAATAGCTGGAGGAAATATAAAATGGTGGAACTGCTATGAAAAACACTAAGCAGTTTTCTCAACACATTACAAATAAAACTACCCTATGATCCAACTATCCCCCTTCCAGGTTTATATACCAAAGAATTCAAAGAAAGATCTGCAATTGATCTTTGTACATCCATGTCCACTGCAGCTGTATTCACAAAAACCAATAATAGGTAGAGCCCACACAAATGCTCATGCACAGATGAATGAATGTATAATGGAACACTTTTCCAAAAGGGACAGATTTTGTGATGTGATAGTACTTAGATAAGCTTTTGGGACAGTATTTTTTTTTTTTTTTAAGATTTTATTTATTTGACAGAGAGAGAGAAATCACAAGTATACAGAGAGGCAGGCAGGGGGTGGTTCGGGAAGCAGGCTCCCCGCTGGGCAGAGACCCCCCCCCCCCCATCCCAGAATCCTGGGATCATGACCTGAACCTAAGGCAGAGGCTTCACCCACTGAGCCACCCAGGCACCCTGGGGACAGTATGTTAAATGAAATAAAGGAGTCACAAAGACAGATGCAATAGGATTTCACTTTTGTGAGTAATCTAAGACAGTCAAACTCAAAGGAAATTATAGTGATATGTGCCAGGGACTTACAGTAGAGGGAGAAAATGGTGGTTATTTAAGATGTCTTAAGTTTCACTTTCACAAAAAGAAAAAATTTCAGAGATAGTTCACACAGTAATGTGAATACACATAACAAGACTAGACTGCCCATCTAACAACGGTCTGATGGTAAATTTTATGTCATGTGTTATTTTTAACCACAATTAAATTTGTTTAAATGTCTAAAAAAGAATAGATGATATAATAATCTTCATTTTCAATACTATTCATCTAGACAGAATCAAGCAACCACTGACCATTAATCAAGAATAGAAATAAACAAGAAGTCATGAATACACCAGATGTAATATTTTTATAGACAAAGGCAGACATCATTTTGTTTATAATATACATATAGAGGATACACATTTGAATTAAACCTTACATTATCTTTAAAGTTAGAGTTGAAAATTATGATCCAAAATCATAATATACAGGTAAGAACCTAAATTAACCAATATTGGGGATCCTACCAAAAACAAAAAACACATGGTGGTAGCACTGGAACACAAAAGAAAATTTAACAACCCAAATTCTGACTACAACATAGATGTATTACTAAAAATATTTTCTACTGTAACTATAAATAGTTACAGGACTATGAACTGTGAACCATAACTGTGAACTCATGAAGAGTACACATTGAATTGAATCACGGGTATGTACTATAATGGAAGGAACTTCACAGGAAATGTATTATGTATTATATTATTATAATTTATTATTATATTATATATATTATATAATATATAATTATATTATATTATTATAAATGTATTATAATCAATCACGAAAAGCTCACATGAAAAACTTAATGAATGAGAATTTAAAAGACACAAGAGAGGGGCGCCTGGGTGGCTCAGTGGGTTGAGTCTCTGCCTTCAGCTCAGGTCATGATCTCAGGGTCCTGAGATTGAGTCCCACACCGGGCTCTCCACTAGGTGGGGAGCCTGCTTCCCGCTCTCTCTGCCTGCCTCTTGGCCTGCTTGTGATCTCTGTCAAGTAAATAAATAAAAATCTTTAAGATAAAAAAAAGAGGCACAAGAGACACTTATTACATTGTTAATATGTTATTCCTACTTTTACACTAAATGTAAAAGCTATAAGCCAACTTGTAGAAGAAAATAGATCCTTTATTTCTAAATACAGGAACAAATGAAAGTTGTATAATACAGTGACCATCACTAATATATAAAATAAATATTTGGGATTAAGTTATACCATGATACAGATACATGTTAAGGGAAGTGGGTCAAAAACCTAGTAACATTTTGACTAATGTAAATTTAAATTTATGAACCAAATCTTTTTTTAATTTTTAAGTAATCTCTATATCCAACCTGGGGCTCGAACTGATGAGCCATTGCAACTGCCCCTCAGAACAATGTATTAAACTATAACCTCTGGATGATTTTACTAGTTACCAAGCACATTTAGATACAGCCTTAAGAAAAACACATACTGGTAACAGGTCTTTGGGGGAAAGGACGATACGACCTTGAATCTGAGCAGCTGGGGATGCCAGGCTAGCTCAGGGCTACCTCAGGGCCTCAAGGCGGAATGCCCCACGCTTCACAGAAGCTGAGCAGCTGGGAACGCCGCCTGCTTCCCTTTTCCGTTGTCTCTCCTTTCTCCTCCCAAAAGCGCCTGATGTTAGTTAGATGAGTCCTTTGAATGTGCTTGTTTAACTATAAACTTTACCCTCCTTCTTGTTTGTCCATAAGACATGTGACTAATGTTTGCCCTTCATCGACTCTTCTGTTGGTTACTATTTCTACTACTATTTCTATCTAATAAAAGTGAGACTGTGGAGTTGTTCGGGGCAGCAGTCTTTTTGACTGTTGTCCCCTGCTCCCTTTTCTCTTCAGCTGACTTGTTTGTGCCGAATTCTTCTCCCGTTTGCTGATTGGAAGCGGCAAGCCATGACTCGAGATCAAGAATCACATGCTCTACCAGCTTAGCCAGCCAGGCACTCCTATGAGCCAAATATTCAATGAATATGCATGTCAACTATTATCTACCTTCTTATAAAACGTGAGCATTCAAGTTATGTTATATTCAAACTTTTGAATCTAAAGGCATACACATAGATCCAATCAGAAAATAAGGACATTCAGGACAGTCCCAGGAATTTTTGTACAAAACAATTATAAATGACATAAGTTATACAGATATAAGGTAACAGACTGTACCATATGGTGGGCAATGTTCTAACTTTCTCTGTAACACTAATTTAAGAATTCTATGAGGCTGGGGTGCGTGGCTGGCTACATCAGTAGAGCATGCAATTCTTGATCTCCGGGCTGTAAGTTTGAGACCCATATTCAGTGTAGAAATTACTTAAAGAAAATAAATCTTTAAAAAAATTCTAGGAGGTAAATAGATACATTAACTATTTTATCATCGTGGATCAGAGCATGTAAGTGAAATTTCAAATGATAGTGCATAACAAAAAAAGGCATTTTGAACTAAAATAGAGAATTACATTTTCTCATTTTAGGGAAGTTCTTAGTGCTATGATGAAATTGCTGAGTCTGAGTTTTGTGGGATCATGTTTGAAACTGCCATAGGTTTGGAAATAATAAAGCTGACAACACACTACTTCTGTCCCCAGTGTTTCTGGGATTTCTGCACCAAATCTCATTATCTGCACCACTCTTCTTGCACTTCCAACAAATAAAACTTAAAAGATGGTTTAATATAGAGTTCTTCCATGTGCACAGATTTTCCCAGATACTCAGAAGCAGTGAAGAACAAATAAACTGAGGCCTTCACAGTCCGAGAGAAGTTGATGTCTTTGTTTGCTTATATGTTTGTTGTTATGCACTCAGGATGTGATGGAGATCACTGGTGTTGAAAAAAGAATTCTTAAGAGGATGTAAGAGCATAATAGTATTGGACAGATGACCCTCTGTGAGATGAAGAGAAATGAACTTAGGCTTCTCAAAATCATTTCTGAAGAAGCCGAGCTCCCCAAATCACATTTTCAGGTCTGGCTTCTTCCTGGGCCTTTAGGTCTCACCTCCATCATCTGCTTCATTCATTCCCACCTACCTGGGTGGATGGATGTGTTCTCCTTTCTCTTCATATCCCAGAGCTCCTTTTCTTACTCCAAAAAGATGACCAGGTCTGGCTTTGACACACGAGATCTGTTTATCAGAAAAAAAAGAAAATGAATATTGCTGGAGAATATAACTTTCAATACACTCAATTTTGCTCAGTAGAGTAGAGAGCACATTACAGGCTGTAAAATTGGGCTACCAATGATCCCCAACAGTCAGAGGATGGGTGCTTTTTTTTTCTTTGAAGATTTTTTTTAAATTTATTTGGCAGAGAGATCACAAGTAGGCAGAGAGGCAGGCAGAGAGAGAGGGGGAAGCAGGCTCCCTGCTGAGCAGAGAGCCCAATGTGGGCCTCGATCCCTGGACCCTGAGATCATGACCTGAGCTGAAGGCAGAGGCTTAATCCACTGAGCCACCTAGGCACCCCAGGTTGGATGCTTAATAACAACCTGAGAACATGGGTACCAAGGCGATAGCTTGTAGACTCCTTTTTTTTTTTTTTTAAAGATTTTGTTTATTTACTTAAGAGAGAGCGAGCGAGCAAGAAAGCACAGGAGCCAGGGGAAGGGCACAGAAGCGACTTCCCACTGAGCGGGGAGCCTGACAGAACTGGATCCCAGGGCTCTGGGATCATGGCCTGAGCCAAAGGCAGAGGCTTAACTCCCTGAGCCACCCAGGTGCCCAATCTGTAGACTTCTGAAGAATGCACCTCGCTCATCCCATTGGGATAAGGAAGCCTTATACCTAAAGCTATTAAAGATTATGAGCACCCCAGTGGTGAAGAAAATTATTGAGAAAATAACAAACCAATGTGTCTACGTAGACTAGTAATGTAGATACCAGACCTCTGGTACCCTCTAGTTAGAGCGACTCAAATTCAGGAGGCAATGGCAGGGGAAGATTGATGAACAGAATTTACTGTCATGACAATGGCCCCTGGAAGATCTAATACCTTTTGGTATTTGTAGATATATTCACTAGATGGACTGAGGCCTTTCCCTGAAGGATAGAAAGAACAAACAAATAACAAGGGCCTTGGTAAAGGAGAAAATTCCTCAGTTTCAGTTGCCAAGGTCAATCCAGAATGACAATGGACCAGCTTTTATATCCAAAACCATTTCTGAGTTATCAAGTGGAGGTTACACTCTGCCTGGACACTCAGTCTTCTGCAAAGACAGAATGGGTGAGCAGAACCCTAAAACACTCTGGTGAAGTTGTGCCAGGAAACAGAACACTGGTTAAAGTTACTACCAATGTCTCTTACCAGAGCTGCCCCAAAGGGCAAATTAAAATCCCAGCCTATTTGGGATGACTTATCGGAGAGCTTAACCGCCTGCTCAACCTGCACAGATGGACCAAGGAGTAAGTGGCACTTATATTTACTTCATTATAATACTCCATCTTCACCAAAGGAGGAGCACAGACCACATGTATGTAACATACGAAGTGTGTATAGACTGGTTTCCTTAAGACATGCATGACCTTATGCCCATTGTGACATAAAGTGACAAGGCTCCCCATTCTAAACATTCATCCTAACCCTAAATGAAAGGAAGCCACTCACCTTTGCTTGGGGAGTCAAGGCTTTGGAAGTTATTCCATGTGATCTCCTTATCTGATACAAAATGTCCTTTGTGTGACAACCCCACCTGGTGTAGTTTCTATCTGAGACTCAGCAAGGAGTGAACTCAGGTTCCTTCAGTTGTATTAGGAGAACTGGTTCTGGCTTAAGGGAGTTTCTTGCTTTATGCAGTAAGATGATTTTCAGCACGGTAATATGCTTGAATGTATTCTCTAGCTCTGAGGTAAGAGGATGGCATATGATCCACAAAACCGATATAAATACTGTGTATTTCTCCAAGATAAATTGTAAAATGAAGGCATAGACACAGGCATACACATTGTTGAGTACTATGTTTATATCATATTACATCATACATTGTTGAGTACTGTGTTTATATCATACAGAAATTTTGTCTATTTCTTAGATGGAAAATTTTGGTGGGTTACAATTGTACCTATCAAATTCTAATGAGAATTTCACAACAGTGCATTGGAGATCTTATTAAAATGCAGATTCTGTTCAAGAATTCTGGGGTGGGATCCTTGTCTGCATTTCTAACAAGGCAGTAGTAGCTTATGGGCCAAGCAATACAGTTTTGAGTTAGGAAGAGGTAGAACTCAAAGGCAAGAATTTTTGGAGGACTTGGAACTGAACGAGTTTTATAGTTTCATTAGTATAGCAAGAATGGCAACAATATTTTTTGAGCATTTCTAGGTACTAGATAGCATTCTAACACTTTTTCATAAGTTAATGCAAAATAATAATAATAATCTAAGAAAGCATTTTTTTTTTAAGATTTTATTTACTTATTTGACAGAGGGACACACAGCAAGTGAGGGAACACAAACAGGGAGAGTGGGAGAGGGAGAAGCAGGTCTCCCAAGGAGCAGGAAGCCCAACCCAGGCCTCTATCCCAGGACCCTGGGATCATGACCTGAGCTGAAGGCAGATGCATAACGACTGAACCACCCAGGTGCCCCTATTCTTTTACTTTTATGCAAATATTTTGTCAAACATCCAGTCAGGTTATTAACCCAACCTAGAGTTGATCTCCAATGACACACAGGTTAATGTACAGAGAAGATTCTAAAGCAGTGTTCACAGCTGGTGTCAAACCTGAGAAGAGCGATGGAAACAAGAAGGGATCCACATAAAATCCATCTCCCCTGGGGCACCTGGGTAGCTCAGTCAATTAAACATCTGCCTTCGGCTCAGGTCATGATCCTAGGGTCCTGGGATCAAGCCCCGAATTGGGCTCCCTGCTTGGTGGGAGGCCTGCTTCTCCTTCTCCCCCTCCCCCTGCTTGTATTCCCTCTCTTGCTGTCTCTATCAAAAAAACAAATAAATAAAATCTTCAAAAAAAAAAAAAATCAGTCACCCTTTTACATTTTATGCACATATCCATACATTTAAAAAGTAATTATATGATCTCAGGGTCCTGGGTTCAAGCCCCAGGTTGGGTGGGGAAACTGTCATGGCAATTTAAATTAAGGAATATTTTCAATGACATAAAATTTATGTTTCTACTTGTGGAAGATGATGCTTCTGTCTTTTAATCACACTGTAAAGACAAATGCACAGAATGATATAAAGAAAATTGCCAGTTTCAGAGTCTAGTATTTCGCTGACAGTTTTTGTTTCATTTGTGCTACGTTATGTTTCAGAATTTTAAGACACTTGAACATGTTAATTATGTGATCCTTGTTTTCTTTTTCTGAAAATACAAAAAGAGCATGTCTGTGACGTGGGAAGTAAAATGGAAATTTACAGGCTCAGAACCACTGTTCCCAGGAGTCAGTATCTCCAGTACACAAAAGTGAAGCCTTCATTATCCAGTGGAACTCAGATAAGAAAGGAATTTCCAATTTAACTGTGAAGGCTTCCTCGCATCTTTCAGAAAATCCACCTCACACCCGCATGAATGATAAAAGGGAAAATATTAACATTATAGAAGAGCAAGGGCGGAGAGCACCAAGCCAAGAAAACAAAATTATCAACTGTAAGTAAGCAAAGTGGTATCAGCACCTGAGACACACAGGACACATTATCGCTGCTGTGTTCGTGTGGCCCCCCAAAGTAAATCAGAAGATGAATCTAATTATGAGAAAACAGTAGATTTATGCAAATTGCAAGCCACGTATATCTCCCACATCCTGTAATGTCTAGCGTATTTTATTTATTTTTAAAGATTTTATTTATTTGTCAGCACAGCACGGGAAGCAGCGCGTGGGCGGGGGGGGGGGGGGCGTGTTGGCGGCAGGCAGAGGATGAGGCAGACTCCGCTGAGCACGGAGCCAGATGTGGGACTCGATCCCAGGACCCTGGGATCATGACTTGAGCTGAAGGCAGTCGCTTAACCAACTGAGCCACCCATGCATCCCTGCCTAGCATATTTTATTATTATTAGCATATTTTAAATAGAGCATCTTTTTTTTTAATTCTAAGGAGCAAGAGTCTGTTTCTTTTCCAAAACTTATGCAGTCATTCTGGGCCTCATATCCAACCATTCTGCTTATTTGTGCATTTAATTAATCCTGTCTACACAGAGCTCGCAAGGCATCCAGATAGAATCTAAATGTGAAATGCTCTCCTTGACTGATATCCCAGATCTGACCCCCATCCACAAGAGAAATCATGGAACCAATGCTTTCTCCTGTGGATCTGTCACAAAGGGAGTATTTTCAATGGTTCTGTTACGGAACCTGGACTGGATCCTGACGGAAGAACCACGTGGCACTCGGAGACTCTGGAGGATCAGAGGTTTATTTAACACCGGTGGGCTCAGAGTTCTCCAAAGGTCTGAGCCCCAAGCACAAGCAGGGAGCATAATTTACACCCTTCTACTTCTGCATTCTTGGTACTTCTGGCACACGCGCGGGGGACATGGGGTAGGGAAGTAGAACCTGGAAAGACCTTGAGACGGGTTAGAATCCCCTTGCTGGCTTGGTTGGCCATCTTAGAGCACAGTTTTTGCCTTATCAGTTCCAGGACATTAATTCAAAGTGACAATTGTTGTCACCCTATTGAAAGCCAGGTTGGAGAGAAGGGAGAAAAGCCTCCGAAATATAGAAGTGTTCTAAAGACCTAAACTTGAGTATTACTTTTTAAAAGGTTTTAAAATGTAGGTGAAGGGGCATCTGGCTTGCTCAGTCAGTGGAGCATGTGATTCTTAGTCTCGGGGTTGTGAGTTTGAGCCCGACACTGGGTATGGAGATTGCTTAAAAATACTTAGAAAGTAAGTGAAAACACTTGTGAGGCAGATACATCAGAACCAGAGGAATCAGTATTTACAATTTCTAAATGCACGTAAATCCAGGAGGAAAAGATAACATGGCCTCTGACCTGGGAAGCAAGGCTTACCTGAGAACCGGCCATTTCTTCTCCTTCTTAAAGGACCTCTTCTGGTCCTTTAGATTTCTTTCTCACAAGGTTTTTGTGGAGAAATCACAGCTGCATCAGGAGAAAATGCCTTTAAAGTCACTAACAGAGTTCCTGGAGACTGCTAGGCAGTGGGCTGGATTTGCAGATGTAGAAAAGGTCCAATTTCCTAATCCTCTGTGTCAGGAGCTATTCAGAAACTATGAGCTCCTACTTGGAGACCAATCTCTGACTTTTTCTTCTGTCTTCACGGACTTCCATCCCACAGACACCCACAAATTCAGTTGCAACATAGGAACCGTGTGCTGCACGGACCTGAGGCTCCCAGACTCACATAGCAGAGACCCCGTTACCTCCCCGTGAGCCAAAGCCCGCTCTCCACTCTCGTAAAACCACCTGAAGCCCTCGTGTTTAATCCTGGCCTGAGAATCACCTGGAGCCATTAATTAATACAACGCTGTTGTTTTCACCCAAACCAATTGACAGAATTGGGCGGGGGTATGGGGGGGTTGGGGGGGTGGTAGGCACCAGCTATGATTGTTCTTGAAACTCCACACGTGATCCAGATTGATATCCATGTCTTCTCCACTGGTCAGTTTCTGGAGACTGACACCTTCACCCTCTTTCTACTACGCAGAGGGAGACACCCTTACAAACGGAGCTTTTCCCTTATAAAAATGCAAATGTCTCTTTCAAAAGGAAACTTTTACTGGGTTTGAGTTTTTCCTTTGCTCTTTCTTTAAAATAATCAACTAAAATAATTCTTACACCAGACAGACCTATTTTGAGATGACAAATTCTGCTCTCCTTCCAGTAGGTAAATGTTTATTTTCATAACTAACAGCCACACAGTTTTCTAAAGCGAATGTACAATTTACCCTCCCAACAGCAATATATGAGATTTTTAGTTCTTCAACATTTTCAAGGAAATTTGGTGTTGTCCTTTTTTCTTTATTTTAGCCATTCTAGAAAATATTAAGTGGTTTCTCACTGGAAAATACGAAGTGGTCTTGCTATATTTGTCTTGGTGACTGGGATGAATGTGTAGGAAAAGAAACTTTGTTCTTTGCATCTAGATTCTTTGGCTGGTCTAATGATCAAACTAACAAAAGATAGATTCACGGGACAGACAAATTTAATTTTTTATTACAGGAATCCCAAAGATATGGGGCTCAAAGATAGGCAACGCCATTCCGACCTAAGGAGAAGGGGGTAGGGATTTACAATTTCAAAAAGGGGGGAGTACATTCACAGGAGAAGAGAAATAACAGATGTTTGGAAACCAAATGTTTGCCACACCAGGCAGGTAACTCTTCCTGGTATAAAAAATTATCTCTGGTATTAGCTATCTTCCTGGCAGAGGTCTCCCATCTAATTTCTTCTTGGTAAATATATATCAGCCTCAGAAAAGAAGAAAATCCTTCTACTTGCAGCAACAGAATAAAACTGGAGGAGACATTTGTTAGGTTAAGTAAGCCAAACAGAAAAAAAACAGATACTGTATAAAATCACATATATGCACTGATAAGGTTTGGAGTGCTGGGGTCTGGAGCCAATGGCCAAGAAAGAATTCTTGAGAAGTCTTTGGTGCGAAAGGGTGGTTTCATTAAAGCACGCGGACAAGAAAGAGCTGCACTGGAGTTGTGAGGAGTACTGATTACACAAGATGTTCTATCCTATGGAAGGGACTGTGATGTTAGGGCTCCAGGAAATTGAGTCTATAGGTTTCCAGAAGTTTCGCTATTGATAAAATTGCCTTTTAATTTTTTTCTTGTAAATAATTAAGACAGTTGCAAACTAATGGATACTCCAGTCCTTCATGACAGTGATCTTTATCAGTTAACCACTTGTTTTTCCATTGTTTATTCTAGGCCAGTCAGTGCCCTGAATGTGGCAATCATTTCCATTTTGTAGCTGGGGCACGGGGGGTTCCCAAATGGACCAGGTTTGGCCACTGGCCCCTGACAAAATCCAAAGGCAGAGAAACAAGTGGTGGTGAGACAAGAAAGGGATTTACTTTGGTGAGGCCAAAGGGGATATATGCAGGTGAGCAAAACTCTAATTTCCAAACATTTGCTTATCATCCTGTGAGATGCATTCCTTTCCTCTGAAACCCTAGATCCCTACCCCCTTTCTCCTTACTCCAGAATGACTTATACATCTCATTCTGCCAAATTTCCATGTCTATGTGGTATTCCCCATAGGTATGCCATTACATTTGATTTTCTCATGTTTATCTGTCTCACATCAATTTGATTCTTTTTTATTCCCCCAGTTTGATTCGTAGTCCAGCTAGAAGGATTCTTGAAGGAGACACAAATTCTTGCTTCCCAACAGTGGTAATTAAATATTTGTCCTGCCAACAGATGGGTCACTCAGATAAAATTTGTCTCCTATAATAACTCTTATTTTAGAAAGAGCCCCCCAACTTAGATTCCTCTATGTGGTTAAGGAACAAAATTTCTCTTGAGCCCACGGGATCTCAATTGCCTTCAGGTCCAAATAATCCACATGCCAAAGTGGCACATTCTGGGGCGGGGGGCCTGTGTCAACCCTTTCCAAGGCACCAAATTTAATGAGAAAGACAGAAATCAAGGCACCAAACCATACAATCTTTGCTCCCATATATCTGCTTTTGGACTTCAGCAAAATATTAGCATCTACCATTAAGACACGGAAGGCACCCCAAACCTGCTCTAATCTGCTCAGAGGGGAAAGCACAGAGTGCAGCCAGACACAGAAAAGCTTCAGTAAGACAGGATTCTGGATGGAGCTGGGAGGCAAAGGCAAAGGCTCTAGGCTTCCCTGCCTATGGGATGAATTATTTCCAGTTCTGTCTTCCTAAATTTGCCTAGCAGAAGCTTTGTATGATTGTATTCTACTTAAGCCAATTCCCTGTCCATTTTATAACATAAAATAAGCAATTTAATATAAACACTTAAGAGTTTTCTTGGGCGCCTGGGTGGCTCAGTGGGTTAAGCCTCTGCTTTTGGCTCAGATCATGATCTGAGTCCTTGGATCGATGCCCGTGTCAGGCTCTCTGCTCGGCAGGGAGCCTGCTTCCCCTTCTCTCTGCCTGCCTCTCTGCCTACTTGTGACCTCTCTCTGTCAAATAAATAAATAAAATCTTTAAAAAAAAAAAAGTTTTCTGAGGTAAGTGTATTAGAAACTACTGTTGACCCTTGAAAAACATGGGTTTGAATTGCACCAGACCACATAGACATAGATGTTTTATAATACAGTACTGTATTTTCCTTTTGATTCCCTTAACACTGTCTCTCTTACTTTATTGTAAGACTATATTTTATATACATATATACATAAAAATATGTTATTAATCAATTGTTTATGTCATTGGTAAGACTTTCAGTCAATAGTAGCCTGTTAAGAGTTAAGTTTTTGGGTGTTTGCTTCCACAGCACATATGGTGGGATTGGAAACATGCAGAGATTAGCATGGCCTCTGCACAAAGATGACACGCAAATTTGTGAAGCATTCCATATTAAAAGTTAAGTTTTGGGGGACTCAAAAGTGATAGATGGATTTTCAACTACACAGTGGGGTTGGTGCCCCAAACCCCCAGGGTCAACTATATCTTACTCTTAGGGAGGTAAACAAATACAATTACTACTGCTAATAATAAAAACTCTTTTCTCTGTAGATGGTTTTCAGGCACCCCATCAGTACTCACCAAACCACATAGAAATGAAGCCATAGTCCCCTGTAAACTATCTCTTCCTTATAGTGACCCCACAATCTTCACCACTTAACCATTTGTTGTAGACTGAAAGTCTCTGGATGGTAGGGATCATGGCTCTTCATCTCTGTTCTTCCAAGATTATATTAATAGAAACCACCACTTTATCAGTTTGCATTTCTAAGCCTCCTCAGTGTTCATCACAGTACAAGGAACCTGACTCCTTACTTCAGTGCCATGAAGGAGATTCCCTCTATGGGGAAAGAAGAGGACAGCAAATGACTCACTCCAGCTCCTTTGAGATGGAAGCAAATTCAAATTCTGTTGTCATCCTGCCCCAGTCAGCACAGGACATTCCCCCAAATCCCAAGTCCCTGGTGCTGGAGGGAGTGTCCCCAGTAAAACCAACCAGATGCCCCCAAAGTGATATAAATAGAGATGCAGGCTGGGTCTGTGGCATCTGCTAGGTTGAGATCACCCTTGGACACAGTTGTGATATTACCTTTCCCTGAGCAAAACACTCTTATGTAAGATGTCTCGACTCCACTAACAGTTTACACAGAGGTGTAATTGTCATGGCTCTGGGTATTTTCTGAGTCCTGACCTCCCATGGCTAGGGATCTTCTCCTTTCTTGACACGACTCAGGGCAGGGAATGTGTCCCTGAGAAGTGCTGCTTTTGATGCCTGTGCTTGCTGGCATTGAACTGACCGTCAGGAGCACCTCAGACAGCTGCATCTAGTCACTGTTAGAAATCTGGACAACACCGGGGTCCCACTCCAGTGTGGGCCTTTGTTTTTTTGTCTTCGTTCATCCCTCAAGCTCAAGAAAATAGTATCTCTCCTGAATTATCTGCATATCCTCAGACAGAAATCTTGCCTTCTTTCATGAATCCCAAGTGCAGAACAGGCTGTGTGTGCAGATTCCAGGTGGGATCGTACCTCTGTCTTTGTGGTTGTTACAGTGATAGGAGGGAACCCAGATGGGAGATGATGCTCTAGTGTATCTCGACAATCCCCAAGCGGTGGATTCAGAATTTGGAGCTGCAGTACTAGTTCTCTGTAGGGGTAGGGGTGCAGCAGGCACCCTCTGCACATGGGTGGGCATTTGGGCAAGAGATGGAGGCAACTCAGATTTTCACACCAACTTGGTGCACGCGCTTGTCTCCTTGGGATTCCCAGGCCCCACTGTCCGAATCAGTTTAAGGTCTGTACATTAGAAGAGCTGGAACTGCTGACTACCACCCTGTGATGTTGTCTCCATGGGAATCTGGTCTAATTTTGCTCTAGCAGACATATAGATGAGACACCTTCCTGCATGAAGACTTTGGGGCATCCGAACTCTGTGCTGCACAGCTGTGGGTTAGAGATGGAAGCCCAAGAGGGAACTGGGTGGTGTCGGCGGGGGAGATAATCTGTCAAATGACCCTCCAGAGGGTTTTTTTTTTTTTTTTTAAAGATTTTATTTATTTGACAGACAGAGATCACAAGTAGGCAGAGAGGCAGGCAGAGAGGTGGGGGATGGGGGGTGGTGGGGAGGGAAGCAGGCTCCCTGCTGAGCAGAGAGCCTGATGTGGGGCACAATCCCAGGACCCTGGGATCATGACCTGAGCCAAAGGCAGAGGCTTTAACCCACTGAGCCACCCAGGTGCCCCTCCAGAGGGGTTTTGATGGACACCTTGTGTGTTTATGCAGGGATCATAATTCTGGCCAGTGTTGGGGGAAACAGAATTAATAGCAAAATCTCCCAAACCAGAAAACCTCCAGACAAATACAGAAGAGAAAGAAAACACTTAAAAAAAAAAAAAAAAAAAAAGATTTTATTTATTTATTTGAGGAGAGAGAGGGAAAAGCAAGTCCCCCACCAAGCAGGGAGCCCAATGCAGGGCTTGATCCCAGGACCCGAGACCATGACCCAAGGCGAAGGCAGGCACACAACACACTGGGCCACCCAGGAGCCCCAAGAAAACACTTTTATTACAGGATAAGCATTAAACCAGATTGCAGTGCCAATTACAGGCAATCTACCAAATGATTAAAGACCGAAAGAAATCTCACCCTTTCATATAGCCAAGCGGATATAACTTATTATATTCACATGCGCAGGGAAAGGAACAATTAGGCCTCAAGCAAGAGGATCTGACAGCACTTGAAATTTGGGGTGACCATCCGGGCGTTAACTGGCTTTCTACCAAGTTGAAGTAAACTCACATCTTTAGGACAGGAGTATTTCTGCACCATGGAACTTGCTCCTACTGGAGTTAGGCTCCTACCATCATGCAGAAAATGAGGGGTGGACATGCTATCCCCCTTGATGCTCAGGTCAAAGAGGTTGATCCCATGCAGTTGAGAAAGACATTCTTAGAAGGCACCTAGCCATTGGCTAGGGTCATGATCCCAGGGTCCTGGGACCAAGCCCCGTGTTGGGCTCCCTGCTCAGCGGAGTCTGCTTCTCCCTCTCCCTCTGCACCTCCCCTCCACTCGTGTTCTCTCAAATAAATAAAATCTTAAAAAAAAAAAAAAAAAAAAAAAAGACTTTCCTAGACCTGAAACCTGAAAAAAGCTTCCTTCAGCTTTAAAGGATTTATGTGTATTTCAAAGCTGTGGAGAAGAAAATTGTAAGATTGCTAAACTGAACATTCTAAGAAAAGAGAGGTGAAGGAAATCTTTTCCCTTATTTTGAGCTCAGAGTATTATACTTCCCGTGTTGTATGTGTATTTGTCCCTACCACAACCAGGGCTAAGGCCCTGATCACCTAGGGCAGGTGAGCACCTAAATTCCCACAGGCACAGAATTTGGGTAGCTGGGCTGGCCTTGAGCGCACTGTGCTCCTGTACGAGGGTCTGAGCAGAAAGGAGGGGGTAGGACTGGACAAGGTTCACCAAGGACACAGAGCAGGGAGACAGCTCAGGCTTGGTTGAAGGACTGTGCTGTAGACACAGACTTAGGTTGGGGCTGAGCTCTGCCTTATTCCTGTGTACCTATAGGCAGATGGCATCATGAGGGGCTTGTCAAAGCCTAGGTTGATAGAGGGCCAAGGTTGCTGCAGGTTGCTCAAAGCCAGATTTTCTGTGGCCACTTGGGAGGGTTTGTGTGCAATCTTAGCACATGCTTTGTAGCCCCACTTCCTGAGAGGGGAGCTGTGTGTCTGTGTGTTGTGTGCATGCCTGGGTCCAGGGAATAGATATTGACTTAATTCCCCCCAGTTTTTTGAAGACTGCATTTATTTATACGACAGAGAGCAAGAGAACACAAGTAGGCAAAGAGGCAGCCAGAGGGAGGAGCCATATGGGGAACTCCATCCCAGCACCCTGGGATCATGACCAATCAACAAGCAAATTTAAATACATTATGGAGCCCCATGTCCCATTAACCACCACTCAACCAGATCTCAGTTGCCCTTCCTTCTCCCTCCCAAGGATTTCTATTAATCTGTTCGTGTGTTTCTCTTTCCTGATTCTCTCCACTGTTTCTCCTTTCCCGTGATTCCCCTGGCTCCGCCCTGTCTTCTCCCCTTTTCTCTCACTACATCTACACCTTTGGGAAACTCTTGAAACCTACTTCACCTTCCCTTACTCTTTCGGCCCAAGCTTTCGCACTGTTCCCATCTCCATAGATTTCGGCCTCTCCCTCCCCCCACCCGTGTCCTCTCTGCTCCCCAGTTCCGTTCCCTCTTTCCTGTCACACACTCTGGCTAGGCTCTCGCACTGCTGTTTCTCTCTGCGCGGTCATCCCTACCGCCTCTCTGTCCCAGCATCGTCTACCCAAAACCTTCTTCTCCTTCCCACTGTCTGCGTGAAGCGCGTCGCCCTTGTCACCCCACTTCTGTCAACCGAGGGCCCTACTATTCGGCTCCCCTTGTCCGGAGCGCCGCCCTTTCCTCCACATTTCGCTCGTTTCTTTTCTCCGCTGGCGACCTGCCCTTCCGCTCTTAGGGCCTCGTTGCAAGTCCCTCCCGCATCCTCCTCATCTCGCCGTCTCTTACGGACCCTCTCACTGCTCTTTCCTCCGCCATTCTCTCTCTCCGGCTCCCACCCCATCCCTCGTCTGCCGCAGTCACGGCCTCCACGAGGCCCCCCATGCTGCGTGAGGGACCTGCTCCGTCACTCCCCGCGATCTTCCGTCCTAGATCCCGCTCCTGAAAGCCCGCACCGAAGAAGGTGCCCTTTCTGGGCCTCGGTCCCCTCACTGCACGCGGGGCTGCACCGGGGCGTCTCAGGAGGGCGGCGCGGTCTGCGCGATACCAGGGCCAGAGAGACTCCGCGCGTCTGTGGGCCGAGCCGGGCCAGGCTGCGGCGCGGGGCGCACACGCCCACCTCCCTGGACTCCCACGGCGCGGGTGGGAGCGGTGCCCGGGACGGCGTGAAGCACGGAGACAGCGCGGCAGGCGGCGTCCGAAGGCTCGAGGGCCTGAGACCACCGGCGGGGACCGACTCCGACGATGGGAACCGAAAGGCACCGGGACCCCGGGCCGGCAGCGCCGCCCGTAGGATTCTGTGTGTCTCCGCGACACGCTACTTACCGCGGTGGGAGGCGCGGTTGAAGGGACTCGAATGTGCGTGGAGACCCCAAGGGTGCAGGCCTGGGGGCCGAGATTCTGACGCAGGGAACAGAAAGGACCGAAAACAACGGAAGCCGTCGTGAGCTTTTAAGCGACCCAGTCGCGCCGGGGCCCACAGAGCTGTAAAAAACTGCGCGTGCGCGCTGGTGGAAGGGCAGGGCTGCGGCGCGGCCGGAGTGGAGCGCTTCCCGCAAAGGGAAGGATAAGCTAAGTTTCCGCCCAGTGTGAGAACTCGGCAGCCGCGGACGGAGGGGACCCGGCAGAACGCATCCGGCAACAGGCAGGTTGTGAAAAGTGGCCAGGCCGGGCCGCTCACCTCTGAGGGCGGGGCTTGGGTGGAGCGCTTCCGGGAACGACTCGGACACACACACTGGCCAGAACGGGGCTGCGTGGACGGGATGGGGCGGAGCTTGGAGGAGCGCTTCCGGTAATGGGAGGAAAAAGGTTAAGATCCCTCCACAAAGAACCGAAGGAGAGGGGGCCGAGCGGATGCTGGGCTGAGAGCTTCCGGCACTGGGCGCACCCCAGCGAAGCCCCTGGCTGGATCTTCAGGGGTGAGGCCAGGAGCCTTGGACGGTCGGTGGGTGGGGCCTGGTTTCCTCCAGCCTGCTCCCAGAACGTGTCTTTCTTTGGGATTTCCAGCCTTTTGAATTTCTGTCGCTTCCTGTGGGACAGGCGTGCTGCCTAATTTAAGTGATGTCTCCAACAGTGTGAGGTAGAGCTATAGTCGTTTGGGCCACTTAGGTTGAAAGCTAACCTATTTACTGTTTCTCAAGCTGAGATGGTTTTCGTTAAAAACGGTTTTGTCCTAGAGGTAGAGACGCTGCTCTTTGGACAGGCCAACCAGACTCCGTGGTCTGGGACCCGTTCCTCGGTAGTGAGTGGATGTGGTTCTTCGGCTGGATCCAGGAACTTAGGCTGGATCCAAAATGGGCCAGGGCTGGGTCCAGAATTTAATTTAAGCAATTTAGCTAAGTAAGGAACATACCTGTCTGTAAAAGGGATGCAAACCTGAATGTGAAATGGGAAAACCTAGCAATGCGAAATACTGCCATTTTTTATCAACATTTTCCAGCCACAGTGCTATGAAACTAGAAAATCACTCATAAGGAAAATTTTGGAAAGAGCACAAATACAGGTGAAATGGTACAATCAATAAGTCAAACAAGAAATCAAGAGATCAAAATTTACACAGAAACAAATAAAAGTCCAAAATATTTGGGATGCAGCAAAAGCAGTTCTAACAGGAAAGCAATACAAGCCTACCTCAAGAAGCAAGAAAATCTCAAACAACTTACATTTGAGGGAGCTAGAAAAAGCAGAACAGAGAAACCTAAAACCGACAGAAGAAAATAATAAAGATTAGAGTAGAAATAAATGAAATAAAAACTAAGGAAACAATAGAACAACCAGGAGCTTGTTCTTTGAAAAGATCAACAAAACCAATAAACCTGTAGCTGGACTAATTAAAAAAAAAAACCCTAAAACAAAAACAAAACAGTGGACTCTGTGAACATCAGAAATGAAAGAGGAGAAATAACAATTGACACCAAAGAAATACAATTTTAAGAGAATATTATGAGGGGCGCCTGGGTGGCTCAGTGGGTTAAAGTCTCTGCCTTCAGCTCAGGTCATGATCTCAGGGTCCTGGGATGGAGCTTCGCATGGGGCTCCTGCTCAGCAAGGGGCCTGCTTCCCCTTCCCTCTCTGCCTGCCTCTCTTCCTACCTGTGATCTCTCTGTCAAATAAATAAAATCTTTTTAAACAATTATGAGAAACAATATGCCAACAAATTAGGCAGCCTAGAAGATATGGATAGGTTCCCAGAAACATAAATTACCAAAACTGAAGCAGGAAGAAACAGAAAATTTGAACAACCAATTACTAGCAATGAAATTAAATTAGTAATAAAACACTCCCAACAAACAAAAGTCCAAGACCAAATGGCTTCACAGGCAATACTCTGAATCCAAAACCAGATGAAGACACCACGGGGTGGGGGTGGAGGGAGAGAACTACAAGCCAATATCCTTGATGAACATAGATGCAAAAATTCTCAACAAAATACTAGCAAACCAAATCCAACAATACATTTAAAAAAAATCATTCACCATGATCAAGCAGTATTCCTGGAATGCAAGCATGGTTCAATATTCACAAATCAATGTGATACATCACATTAGTAAGAGAAAGTATTAAAAAACATAATTATTTCAACAGATGGAGAAAAGCAATTGACAAAGTACAGTGTCTAATCATCATAAAAACACTCAATAAAGTAGGTTTAAGGGGAACGTACCTCAACATAGTAAAAGGCCTTATATGAAAAACCTATAGCTAACTCAATGGGGAAAACAGCTTTTCACCTAAGGTGAGGAAAGTGACAAGGATGTCCACTCTCACCACAGTACTGGAATTCCTAGCCAAGCAATCAGACAACAACAACCACAAAAAGTCATCCAAGTGCTAAGGAAGAAGTAAAACTTTTACTATTTGCAGATAACTTGATACTATACATAGAAAAACTGTAAAGACTCCATCAAAAAACTACTAGTACTTACAAATTCAATAAAGTTGAAGGATATAAAATCAATATACAGAAATATTACACTTCTATGTTCCGATAATGAAGCAGCAGAAAGAGAAATTAAGAAAACAATCCCATTTACAATTGCACCCAAAATAATAAAATACCCAAGCATAAACTTAACAGAAGAGATGAAAGACTTCTCTGGAAACTATAAAACACTGATGAAAGAAACCAAGGACAACACAAGAAATGGAAAGACATTCCATGCTCATGCATTGGAAGAACAAATACTAGCAGAATATGTATGCTACCTGGGTGCCTGGGTGGCTCAGTGGGTTAAGCCTCTGCCTTCATCTTGGGTCATGATCTCAGGGTCCTGGGATCGAGTCCCACATCTCTGCTGAGCGGAGAGCCCGCTTCCCCCTCTCTCTCTGCCTGCCTCTCTGCCTACTTGTGATTTCTCTGTGTGTGTGTCAAATAAATAAATAAAATCTTAAAAAAAAGTAATTTTGCTACCCAAAGCAATCTACACATTTAATACAATCCCTATCAAAATACCAACAGCATTTTTCACAGAACTAGAACAAAAAATCCTAAAGTTTGTATGGAACCATGAAAGACCTTGAATAGACAAAGCTATCTTGAAAAAGAAAAACAAGGAGGGGGGGGGGAATAAAAAGTAAAATAATTAAAAAGAAAAACAAAACTGGATGTATCACAATACCAGACTTCAAATTATATTACAAAAGTGTAGGAATCAAAACCATATGGTACTAGCACAGAAACAGACACATAAGCCAATTGAACAGAATAGAAAACCCCCAAATAACCCATAATTATATGGTCAATTGATCTTTAACAAAGGAGGCAAGAATATGCAATGGAAAGAGAGTCACTTCAACAAATGGTGTTTGGAAAACCAGGCAGCTACCCACAAAGGGATGAAACTGGACCACTTACCTACACCATACACAAAAATAAACTCACAATGGATTCATGATCTAAACGTGAGACCTGAAAACATAAAAATCATGATCTAAAACATAAAAATCGTGATCTAAACGTGAGACCTGAAAACATAAAAAAAAAAAAAAAACATAAAAAGAGAGACAGTGATTTTTCTTACATTGGTCATGCAACATTTTTCTAGATATGGCTTCTTAGGCAAGGGAAATAAAAACAAACTACTGGGATTATATAAAAACAAAAAGCTTCTGCACAGTGAAGGAAACAATCAACTAAACTAAAAGGCAAACTGTGGAATGGGAAAAGATATTTGCAAATGACATATCTGATAAAGGGTTAGTATCCAAAATATATAAAGAACTGATATAACTCAATATCCAAAAACCAAATGATCCAATTAAAAAATGGGCAGAAGTCATGAATTGACATTTCCCCAAAGATGACATTCAGATGGCAGCAGATACTTGTAAATATGCTCAACATCACTCTTCATTAGGGAAATGGAAATTAAAACTACAATGAGCTATCACCTCACACCTGGCAGAATGGCTAAAATAAAAAACTCAGGAAAAAAAACAAGAGCTGGTAAGGGTGTGGAGAGAAAAGAAACCCTCTTGCACTGTTGATGGGAATGCAAACTGGTGCAGCCACTGTGAAAAACAGTATGGAAGTTTCTCAAAAAGTTAAAAATAGAATGACTGCTGGGTAGTTACCTCCTAAACACAAAAACAGTAATTTTCAAAAGGATACATGCACCCTAAAGTTATTGTGACATCATTTACAATGGCCAAATTAAGGAAGCAGCCCGTGTCCATCAACAGCTGAGGGTAAGGAGATGTGGTGTATGTATACAATGGAATATTTTCAGCCATAAAAAAAAGAACGAAATCTTGCCATTTGTTAACAACATTGATAGAGCAAGAAAGCTAAATGAAATAATTCAGTCAAGGAAAGACAAATGGTTTATGATTTCACTTGTATCTGGAATTTAAGAAACAAAACAACCAACCAAAGGGGAAAAAAGAGAGACTAGGAAAGAGACTCTTTAACTATTGAGACTGAACTGATTGTTACCATAGATTTGGGGGTGGGTAGGCTAAACAGTGATGGAGATTAAGGAATGCACTTGTCCAGGTGAACACTGGGTGAGGTATGGAAGTGCTGAATCACTATATTGTTCATCTGAAACTAATATTACACTGTATATAGCTGGAATTTAAATTTTAAAACCTTAATAAAATAGCAAAACACCACCACCACCACCTAGCCCCAAACAATTTCAAGTTTCTGTCTTTACAGGGAGAGGGGAGAAAAGAAAGGAAAATTGATGCTAATCTATAAGGCAAGTAACTTTCTTTTTTCTTTCAGCTCTTAAAAATCTGCCTAGAGGGGTGCCGGGGTGGCTCAGTGGGTTAAGCCTCTGCCTTTGGCTCAGGTCATGGTCTCAGTGTCGTGGGATTGGGCCCTACATCAGGCTCTCTGCTCAGCGGGGAGCCTGTTCCCCCCCACCACCCCCCCCCCCCGACTGCCTGCCTTTCTGCCTGTGATCTGTCA